CCAGGTTCCCTACCCGCCACATATAAAAATTATACTCTTCCCCCCCTGTTCCCTGCCCCCTCACATATAAAATAATTATCCCCGCCCTTACACATATAAAATGACACACACACACACACACTCTCCTTGTCTTTTTGCAGGGAAAAGGCGAGCAGAAGCGATCACTGTTGGTCCAGTGGTGATCAGTAAGGTCTGCTGCAGACCTAACTAATCCATCCTTTTGGCCAGCGCTCAGTGAAGAGCACCGACCGAAAGGAGCGGAGCCAGCACAGCCAGAAGCAGCGGCTCCTGCTAGTCAGGTACATAGTCCGTGACCGCGTACTTGACTGAATTTTCACTCGCCCTTACTTTTTTGGAATCTGCCTATCCGTATTCCTGACAGTACAGCATGGTACACATGCAGTGGAAAGTTTGTTCCCTCTTTCCATAGATAGGAGAATGAGGTCTTGTTCACATCTTCCCATTTTAGGCGAGTTGCATATTGTGCGATTTTTACATGCTTTACTATTTAACTTTGTGTAGCATGATTTTGCTGGAAACCATAGCAGGCAAGATGTAAAAGAGCAGTGGCTACTTTACAACACAGGGACCACGGGGAACAAAAGTAGCCACCCTCCAGAAGAAAGCACACAGATGATCTGAGGATCTACAACTGAGCAATGTACAAATAAAGTACTTTTTTGTTAAGGCACTCTAATACATTTTTATGAGATTTAACTCCTGAGTTTAATGTCCCTTTTTAAATTAAGTCAGTATTGATTGTTATAGTGAGTTGCTACTTACAAAAAAGTTACCATAAGACATGCCTGCAAAGAAAAACATTAATACTTACCGCTTGTGCCGCCAGCTGTCTTCTAGAGATAAGCTTGCTGAAGAATCTGGATACCTGGTCCTCAAGTTCACTCTGTGGTTCCTTCAACTGGCCTCTACTTCCCTACTCTATCCTATAGTGATATAGGAGCAGATGGAGGAAACCACAGAGCACAACGCGGGATGCAGACACCTGACACTCCAGATGTGCCCAATGCAGAATTTTACAGCATGCTTATTTCTGGGAGACAACTGAGTTCAGTGGCACAGGTAGGAGTGAATACAATATGTTGGCAGATAAAGTAATGGAAAAAACAGTAATGCACTTAGCATGAAAGTGGAAATATCTCTGTTTAATATGTTTCTCTGCAGGGGTTTTGCTGCCAGCAAGGAGTCGCATGCAACTCTAGTTTTCCACAATCTTCTGGGTGAAATAGACCAGCAATACAGCAGATTCCTACAGGAATCCAATGTCCTTTACCAGCACAACCTCAGGAGAATAAAGCAATTCCTACAGGTAATAACAGTACATTATTTTCTCCTACAATCCATGCAAACCTTCTGTATTTTTAACATTGAGCTGTACCTGCCCTGGTGGGAGGGGTACCTGCCCTGACAGAGCATGAATAGCCCAAACAACTGTCTGTAGTGATATTTCCTGAGTAATATGTCATAGGTCTGGTCATTTTCTCCTGCAAGCAAAGGAGATGTGTTTATCCAAGTCCAGCTAAGTTCCAGGTATACAAATAATTGTAGGCCAACAAAAGGGTGTTGGGCTACTCATGCTTTTGCGGGAACTATTCAGACCTTTTGATCCCACTACGTGAAGCATTTAACTCTATTCATGATGACCACCTATTTCGTCCAGACACCCTGTCTGCTACACTGGTCATGATCCCTAAGCCTGATGTGGATAACTCTTCTCCCTCCAATTTGCGACCCATTTCACTCCCCAATATACAGGTGAAACTCGAATAATTAGAATATAGTGCAAAAGTTCATTTATTTCACTAATGCAACTTAAAAGGTGAAAATAATATATGAGATAGACTCATTACATGCAAAGCAAGATAATTCAAGCCGTGATTTGTCATAATTGTGATGATTATGGCTTACAGCTCATGAAAACCCAGATCCACAATCTCAAAAAATTAGAATATTACATGCAATCAATAAAACAAGGATTGTACATAGAACAATATCGGACCTCTGAAAAGTATAAGCATCCATATGTACTCAGTACTTGGTTTGGGCCCCTTTTGCAGCAATTACTGCCTAGATGTGAAACTTCTAGCTAAGATAATGGCGTCTCGGCTGAAGGCGGGGATAGGTGACCTAATTCACAAAGTGGGCTTTATGCCTACTCGGCAAGCTAGCGATAATATACGTAAGATAGTACTACTTATAGAAGTGGCTCAGCAACGACAGATTCCCTCTATGCTCCTATCCCTCTACATTACTAAGGCATTCGATTCCCACTTCTGGACTTATCTTTTTCACATTTTGGAATGCTGGAGATTTGGGCCCCACTTTCGATCCTCTGCTTTATATTCCTCACCTTTCGCTAGAGTCCGATTTGTATGGAGGTTTTCATTCTTCCTCTATCCCGTTCTTACGCAGCATGCGCCAAGGTTGTCCCCTTTCTCTGCTTCTCTGTACCCTTGCCATTAAACTCTTGGCACACTTTATTAGAACTTCCCCTGACATTGGGGGCATACCTCTTGCGGGCCACCATTATAAAATCAGTCTGTTCGCAGATGATGTCCTTCTCACGATAAGTAACCCACTTGTTACTTTGCCAAACCTCCACAATCTTCTCTCCTCTTTTGGTACCCTATCTGGCCTAACGGTCAACCCCTTAAAATCTAAGCTCTTAATATATCCCACTCGCTACCCCTGTCCACATCTTTCTGCCTTGAGGAAGGGACCCTGCGCGGTCCGGAAACGTCGGTTTATTTGGATGTCTGTGACGCTTTTTGTCCAATGGAAGGGACATGTTTGTCTTTGCTATTGAGTGCTGGTGATTTCCTGACTTTCCTGTCCACACAACACTCTTTCCACTACCATTGGGAATTCACAAAACTTAAATATTTAGGGGTCTTTCTCACCAACAATTACTCTACCCTATTTGACGCTAATTATCCACCACTTTGCTTTCTATGTGGTCCACATATTCCCTTTCTTGGTTGGGCCGTATTGCGGCCACTAAGATGTCCTATCTCCCTAAATTGCTTTATCTTTTCTGGGTGCTTCCGGTTTTAGTGCCTCCTCACTATTTACGAGTTTTCCAGGGCCAACTTTTACAATATATTTGGCAGGGTCGTAGGCCACGTATCTCCAAGTCTGTTTTATTTCAACCCCCGGATGGCTGGTGGCCTAGGGGTTCCCCACATTGCAGAATTTTTAAGGCCACTCAAATTTCCCAACTTGCCAAACTGCACGCATCTATCAAAGTTCCTTTGTGGGTTGCATTGGAGGCCATCGACTGCGACTCTCCAAATCCACAATCTCCTTTGGCTACCTCCTAAAGATAGGCGATCTTTGACCAACCCTATTACTCTGCACTCTCTTCAGGTGTGGGATTGGGTCAAATTTTCCAGTGGTTTGGTGTCATCCCACTTACCCCTCCTCGCCTTCCTTCATACCCCTCTTTTTACTCGGGGAATGGAGTTGTCCTCTGCCTTCTGCCACTGGGAGACAGCGGGCATAACTGAAATCTATAAACTCATCACCCCTGCGTGCATTAAAACGTTTTCACAACTACGTTCCTCCTACCAGCATCTGAAACCTTCCGTTACTTGCAGGTGAAACATTTTGTCACCTCCACAGTTTGCCTTTCTGGAGGCTATCCTCTGTTGACTCAATTTGAAACCAAATGCAGAGACGATCCTCACTCGCCAGGCCTGATCTCCCTGCTATACGATGCTCTTCTCTCAATTAGCGCCTTCGTCTACATAGAACTATATAGAACTGCAACAGTTAATTGATTAAGTCGATTAAAATCGACCAAAAACGCTGTCGACGTTTTCGATCGTCGTTTCGTCGGCTATTGATTTTAGCCTGTTCGGGGCAACCCCCCCCCCACATACACACATCACCGAGGGAACTGCAATATCTGGTTGTTGTACAGGGGCAATGAGGGCATGCTGGCACTTGTAGTTCCCTAGCTGGTATGTTATGAAGCTGTGTTATTTACTGTCCACCTGAAAGTACTAAAATGCCATTATAGAACTAAGAATAGAACATTTAAGTTTATCCATGTTTTATTCTATGTTCTATAATGGCATTGTATTTTTATTTATTTTTAAACTTTAAAAAAAAAGTTTTTCATTTTTTATTAAATAAAATTCTGACACGCTGTCACAGGAGGCTGAGCGAGCAGAGCAAGGAGGAGAGCTCCGCCTCCTGTAACAGCATGGCCTGTCTCCGCCCCCATACCGCTCTGCTGGACTGTGATAGGTGGCTGAGCGGTGTGGGAGGAGAGACGCCGGCCGCTCACAGCGCTCTCCTCTTGCAGCACTCGGCCGGCTGTCACTTTCTCTCCTCCCCGCTGGGACACAGAGCAGCGCCCAGCGGGGAGGAAATGTAATCACGGATACGCCGATGTATCGGCAGGAAAATGGCACTTTCGGCTGCTGGTATTCTGCATTGCGCCGTATAATCTTTATACAGTGCACTGCAGAATACCACCAGCTATAGAGGACTACAAATCCCAGCAATAATAAATTATACCGCGCAATGCAGAATAACGCCAGCTACAGAGAACTACAATTCCCAGCAATAGTACACTATAGTGTACTATTGCTGCAATTTGTTTGTATTCCTCTAAAGCTGCTCGTGGTCTGCATTGTGCTGCTTTATAATGTACTATATTGCACACCACACTTTTTATTTTACTTCCACCGCTCCAAGCTTGCTCCCATGATGGACTACAATCTCAATACAAACTAGTAGTCCATCACTGGAGCCTTTTTTTTTTTAACCGATTTTATCGGCCAACTAATCGATTTTGAAAATAATCGTTAGTTGCAGCCCTATAACCATCAGTAGTTGAGCAACCGACCTGAGGGTAGAGTTAGATGAAGTACCCTGGCAAAAGATTTGGGCAACCACGAAATCATGCTCTCGTAATTCCACTACAGTGGAGACTATAATGTCTTGTTTTGGTGGTACACCATGTGCCCAGTCGCCTAGCTCATGCTAAACCTGGAAGATCGCCTTACTGTTTTCACGTCTGTTTGACGCGGGGCAATTATTTCCATATTTGGTGGACATCCCCAATTATCCAGAGATTTTGGTCTCAGGTTATTGCTCTGCTCGGCACTCTTATCCAAAGATACATTGCCCTTTCGCCCCAACGAAGCCCTGCTGAACATCAGGACGAATGATCTTTTCAAATATGAATTTCAGCTATTAAAGCCCTTGCTTACACCAGCGAAACAGTTAATATCCAGCACTTGGCTTTCCGATAGTTTGAGTATCTCAGCTGTCAAAAATAGGCTCCACTGGGTCATGATTAACAAGAAGGTGACGGGTAAATTACTTGGTAGTTTAACCAAATTTCGCAGTGTTTTGGACCCGTGGGCCTCTTATTTTCTAACCTCGATACTTCCTTGTTAGGAACTTGTATACAGGAACATCTTTTCGAGTAGTATATATCCTATTGTACGCAACCCCCCTGGCCATCCCTCTCTCTCTCCCACCCCCCTTGGTTTCCTTTAGCCTTTTTCTGATCCCTTTCTTAATTATTTTGTTCTACTACTTCTCTTCATCCATTGGTTATACCCAGTCTGCCAGGACAGACTGGCACACGCATCTATGCAACCGTTGATTGTAATTACTAGTTACCATCGATACTCTGTATCCTTTATCATACTGTTGATGCTACTAATGTACCGATGTCCAAGTCAAATTTCTCTTGTTCTAGATGTGATAAGTAATCAACTAATTGCAGTGGTTACTTCTGTTATATTTTTATATACCAATAAAAATGTATTGAATTATAAAGAAAAAAGTTTCGCAACTCCATGATATTACAGGCTAGATTCCTTCCTAGTATGCATGTCTTTTAATATTTACACCAGATTTGTAATTCTCCCTGAACTCCGAGTCCACCCTTTTCTAATTATTTACATCCCTGATTCTTCTGGGTTCTTCTGGTGTGGAGTCCCTGTTTTAAATTCCTCTGTCCTTCCATTTCCAGTCTGTAGTACCTTTTTTGGAGGCCGTTCAGTATGAGAACTCTGCATTCCACCTTTTGAAGTACACTTATTTTAGGGATCCAGCACAACCTACCTTTCCAATATTAGCTTCCTGGTTGTCATACTGATCCAGTTGATTCAGTAGTTTCATTCACTGACCCAGATGAAGCATAGAGCTTGCAAACTCCTGAATTTCAAGACTTGCAAGCCTCTTCTTGGTCAATAACTTATAGTATTAAAGCTAGACAGCCAGGTAGCTAGTAGTTTCAAGGTGACGGTCAATAATGGCAGCCTTTATATCCCTCTCAGTACTTGTTTTTATTTAAGTGGCTAGGATGTCAGTTTTCATAGACAACAGAAATGCTAAAGAAGGCTACATTCCAGCTGTAATTATATAAGTCCACATCCTTTTTGGATTTGTGCAGCTTTATTCTAGCCTTTTCTCTATCTGCACCTCATAACTTCACTAATATAACTGTTCAAAATAAAATGTACTAGTATCAATTGTCTAATTTGTACTAGTGGTGTCTAATGTAATACCGACAGCCGAATATTGAAATAAATGTAACATTGAGAATGAATCTACATTTTGAAGGTTTAATTTTTTGCAATTTGTCATTACAGAGTAGGTACCTGGAAAAACCAATGGAGATTGCACGTATAGTAGCCCGATGCCTGTGGGAAGAGGGGAGACTTCTTCAGACTGCAGCAGCTGCTGCCCAGGTATTGATATTGGATGGAATGCAGTGCAACTACTTCCTCCAAACTGTAGAGAGCTAGCTCTCTTTTACACAGCAAGTGGATAATGCTCTAGTTTCCCATATTCCTTACCAGTGTACTCTCCTGGATTTCTGAAGCATACTGTATATATACCTGCTTTCATTCCTTTCCTCTGTGCTTCCACTTTGCATTACCAAGGTGTCTCTGGAAAGACTTCTATTTGAAACTCTGCCAAACTCTGGGCACGCAACAGGGAGCTCTGCTTCTGTTATAGTTTTAAAAACCGGTTTTTAATTTATTTGCTTTTGCAAGCTAGCAAAATGGTTGCTGCAGAGTTATTTTGGGCATCTTTGTAGAGAACTGTCCCTTCTGCATACATTTTTTTGCCTTTGATTTATAATCAAGCAATATATTTTTGTAAAGTAGAAGTGTGTTGCCTGCTTTTATTGATACCGTTGGACATCCTTACTTTCAGTGCAGAACATACTGTTTTAGTGCCAATCCTTAAGTTCACGTTTTACTTAGCCATTTCTTTGCTTGGGGTTTTTCACTGAAGGAATGAAGCATCTGCTTTTAGAGGTTTCATGTCTTTGATCATTATTGTAACAGATGTGTTAGCTTGGCATTTGGGAATGTAATGGGCTTTTCTTTAGCTGTGTTCTGTAGTTTAATTTGTAAGAATGACTGTTTATCTTCTAATCTAGCAAGGAGGCCCTGCATCCCATCCCACGGTAACTGTAGTTACTGAAAAGCAACAGATGTTGGAGCAGCACCTGCAGGATGTCAGGAAGAAAGTCCAGGTACTGACAGCATGGTGTTATCTTATGTGTCTTGTGTTCGATAAACCGTTCATTCTTCTACTTCACTCATTTCTTGCCTGACAGGACCTCGAACAGAAAATGAAAGTGGTAGAAAATCTTCAAGATGACTTTGACTTCAACTACAAAACTTTAAAAAGCCAAAGTGGTGAGTTTTTTTTTTTATGTCCTCATTATAAGAGAAATGGGGGCCTCGTGCATATGGAGAATCTTTCATTTTCCACCGTCAACTTGTTAGATAAACTTTATGGTCAAATGTTTGTGATGGAAACGGTGACTGCACTAATTTGAAGATTAAATAAAAAGCAACTGGGGATGCACCGATACGGGTATCTGTGCCGATGCCGGGTATTTGGGCAAGTACTCGTACTCGCCAAAAGGCTCAAATGTCTAGCCCGATACTTGAGCTTCTGGTATCGGGAAGCCAGGCAGCCAGTCATCACACGCCTCCCGGCTTTCTGATTGGCCAGAAAGTCGGCTTTATGCTCCCTCGTCACTTGGTGACGAGGGAGCATGGAGCCAGTATCCCGTCACAATTTTACTGCCTTGAAGAAGGGACCCTGTGCGGCCCCGAAACGTCGGCTCTGTTGATTGTAGTGACACAATTGTCCATTAAAAAAGGACATATTTATTCTAAACGAGTGCTGGTGACCTGTTTCTTTGACGTCATTTGTACTGAGAGATAGTTACTTAAATTCTTTCACTGATTACAAAAATAACAATGTACTCCAATATAATAATTTGTCATTTTAAAAATATCAAATTAATACAATACACCAATATATGTAATTTAGTAAAACCAATTGCAGTATAAAAAAATAAATTACTTAAAGGAGAATTATGAGGCGAGTGATTTCCACTCAGCCTCATAATCTGAGCCGACCTGTGACAATGAAACTGTCAGATGTCGGCTCAGTAGATCGGGAAGTGAGGGAACACATACCGCTCGATCACTTCTCGATCTATCCGTGCAGAGAGCCGTAACTGTCACTCACGTCTCCCTGCAGGGATTCCCCCCTCCCCTGTCCGATCCTCCAGCCTGGCTGAACGGACGGAGGGGGGCGTGTACAGATGGCTCTGCCTCTAGATAGGCAGAGCCAGCTTTCACTCACGCAGCTGGGTGGATCCAGACAGAATTGTCGGGATCCTTTCCGGCTGCGGCGTCTCAGTATACCGCAAGCTGTAGCTCGCGGTATACTGAGCTTTGGGTGACGGGAGGACGCTAGTTTGTGTCCTCCCGTTACCCTTAGGAGAACTATGGGGAAAAGCCCTGGCCCCATAGTTCTCCCTTAAGCAAGTATTGACCTCACGCAATAATAAGATTTACATTATTGATTTAAAATAATCCTGTCTAATACTGTATACAATGTAATTTTTAATATGATCTTTTTCATATGTTGAAAAGATGAGAGGGAAAAAAATATCATGGTGAATAGCTCTGTCCTTTTTTTAAGCCCGAGACGTGGCCTCCTCTGTTAATCTTGCAGACTGATACCATGGTCAGACCTCATCTTGCTGTTGTCTGGTACAACTACACTCCCCAGAATTTACAACCTGGGAATCTATGCTGTAAGGGTCTAAGAATGGCTGATGCTTTGTCTTGAAAACATGAACTCAAAATCACCTTTTATACTGATAGAATAGAAAGAACAAAATGGTTTCCAGTATGGCCACATTATATTATGTATAGATGATGGGTGTAAGCCTTAGAGTGGAATCCTTTTAGCACTCAATAGTTCCGACAGGTTACAGCAGTGTCATTCCGTTACTCAACTGCACTTTACTGTGGCCAGCTGCGTGTTGGCAGTAAGAACCACTTACTTTTTTTTAAAATTAGTTTATACCCACTTCCTCAGCTCTGTCCTGACGTCATAACATTTTCTCACCAGAAATATTTACAGCAGCAGCAAGATTATCATATTTCTAGCTACTCAAAGGAAATTATAGTGAGAAACCAGCTGTTCCTGCTAAGCAGGCACACTGCTTCCAACGTGGTAGATTATTCTGTTTTATAGAAAAAGTTTCGATAACAGAGTTTTATTGTTTACTTGATTCAAAGACAATTTGAATGTCACTTTCAGTTATCCAATCTGTTATATATGTAGAAAGTTTGGTTTAGTCACGGTACTCGTGTAGACCTGAAAAGTCTAGTGGAACGTAAAGTCTGGCATGCGTAGTCACCAGCTGGCATTTTATAGCTTGATAATTCCAGGAGTAAAATCACGCTGCCAACGTTTGTAGCCATTTTCTCTCCTATTTTGGAGTTTATGGTATTCCAGCCGTTAGGATTGTTGCTGCTCCTCCTGTCATTCACTATAACATAGTTTTAATGTAAATGTCATCATTAAAGTGTATTGTATGTACAATACAATCATGCTGTAAAGGTAGACCATGGGGAAGGTAAACACTGTGAGGGGAATTTATCAAAACTAGAGCAGAGAAAATCTGGAGCAGCTGTGCACGGCAACCAATCGGCTTCTCTTTTTTTATTTTCAATCTAAACTGAAGAGTGAAGCTGATTGGTTTCCATGGGCAACTGCTCCAGATTTTGTCTGCTCCAGTTTTGGTAAATTCCCCTCTGTATTTGTATTTCATGGTACATTAAAACATTGAGAGGAATTTATCAATACTGGAACAGACAAAATCTAAAGCGGTTGCCCATGGCGACCACTGAGCTTCTCACTTCCGTTAATTTGAAAAGGAAAGAGATAAGCTAATTTGTTGCAGTGCACAGCTGCTTCAGTTTTGATAAATTCCCCTCTGTGTGTTTTGAGTGAGCTGTGATTCTGGTTATGCTTGAACATCTACCTCTGACTATTTTTGTAATAGCATTGTAATGTAATACTTGTATTTTGTGGTCTTGTGTGCATATAAAGGAACCTGCTCAGAAATAATGACTCTTCTTTTGTTCCTCATGTATTGCAGATCTTTCAGATCTAAATGGTAACAACCAAGCAGTGACTCGGCAGAAGATGCAGCAGTTGGAACAGATGTTGACTGCTCTAGACCAACTAAGAAGAGTAACGTTTCATCCTTTTCTTTATCATGTTTAAATGTGAAAGTGGAAATGAAACTCATGAAACTAAGGTGTAGTGACAGCCAATGGCAGCTATCGGTTAAATGGGCAAGACAAGCTTCTCTTAGAACTGAGCTCAGAATCCTATCTGCTTTTTATTGGAAGATGTACTTGCATCATGTTATAAAACCTAAAGTATAAGTGATCCAGCCTAAAGTGAAACTATAATTGACAAACAACCTTAGCAATTTTCAACCTTCTGTCTGTCAGCTGTGCTGTACTTACCTGGCAAAAGGCTCTGCACACATTATGATTCTTGTCCCAGCTGCTGTACTATAGTGAAGGGGGAATAAGTGTGTGCAGCATGTATTACGACTTTGCTGCTCACCTGTAGGCAGCCAGTTTGTAGCCCTGCCTACACACAAATACCTCCCATAAGCCATGTTTGCAATCAAATGTTTTTTAGGTTCCAAATTATGCTATGTGAAGAAAGTCAGGGTAATGCAATCCTCTTCATCTTGCAGACAATAATTAGTGACTTGGCTGGACTCCTGTCTGCTATGGAATACGTCCAGAAGACTTTAACAGATGAGGAGCTTGCAGACTGGAAGAGGAGACAACAGATTGCATGCATTGGAGGTCCTCCAAATATCTGCCTTGACCGCCTTGAGAACTGGTAAGAACCACGATTTTGCCACGGCCGCTATGCATTGGCTCCTTCCCTCTGCCTTGCAATGAAAACAAGCCTTGGATGTATGTAGTTTTTTTTTCCAGAAGCAGATAGGCCTGGGAGTAAGTATTGCTTGGATATTGTATTATACCACTGTAGTCTGTGCTCCAAATTTATGCCCTACCCTACCCTACCCTGGACAGGCCACTGCAATAAAGAGAGCTCCATGCATCTGCATTCAGAATCTGTCAGTTAATGAAGGAATTTGATCAGCAACAACAAATTGCAAAACCTCAGTTCTTGCACAATCGGACCTCAAAACAGCCCCAATGCATGTACATTTAGAAATACAGGGGTTTTACATACCTGCTGCAGCAATTCAAACAAGAAGAGAGAGAATGTAGGCGTACAGGTGGACTTTAAGTGACATCTGGGAGCTGGGTGAACTGTTGGCAGGCCAGGCTTTGTAAATGACATCTTAGTAAGCTGTAACTTACAGCCAATGGCAGCAGGTGCCAGTGAAAAATTATCACATGCCTGCCCCAACACACGTGTTTGCTGTGGCCTTGTATAATCTTTTAAGTTCTTCAGATTAGAGGTGCACCGAAATGGAAATTTTAAAAACGAAACCGAAATAAAAAAAATGTCAGGCCGAAACCGATACCGAAATTAATTGTTTTTATATTTATTTTTATTTATCAATTCATTTTTTATTAAATATTTTTATTTTTTACTTTTACGTTTAGGGGCTTCGGGGAAATATCAGGGGTCTAAACAGACCCCTGATATTTTCCTTTTAAAATAGAAAAAGAGATTGACAACAGAGTCCTCAATTTTTTTTTTCTGTGTCCCCTGTTATCAATGAACAGGAATCCTTTATGAGTGTTCCTGTTCATTGATAACATGAGAACATTGTTTACTATAACTACAATTATGAATGAATGGGGGTGATGTAGATCACTCCCATTAATTGATTGAGGATATAGATAACATACCATATCCTCAATTATGTACACACACTCAGCGATCACTGATCTCTGAGTGTGTGTACCTTGCTTTTCTCTCTGACACGCTGTCACAGGAGGCTGATCGAGCGGTGTAGAGAGGAAAGCTCAGCCTCCTGTGACAGCACTGTCTCCGCCCCCACACCGCTCTGCCGGACTGTGATAGGCGGCTGAGCGGTGTGGGAGGAGAGACGCCGGCCGTTCACAGCGCTCTCGTCCTGCAGCGCTCCCCGCTGGAACACAGAGCAGCGCCCAGTGGGGAGAAAAGAAGCCAGGGATGCGCCGATGTATTGGCCGAAACATTGCTCTTTTGGCATTATGCCAAAAGTGCAATTTTTGGCCGATATGTTTTGGCGCCGATCTATCGGTGCATCCATACTTCAGATTGCAGTGAATCCTCCTCCTAAAACTGGGACAAAAAGTAAATTGGCTTTTATAACCTTTTGATTTTCAAAACTGGAATCTGATCTGTTTGTGGTGCTCCTATTGTGTATCACAGCTTTTGTAGAACTCTTTTTAAAAAAAAAAAAAAAAAAAAATAACCTGCACCCCAAGGTACTTAAGGAATTAAGCCAGGTTATAACTAGACCATTAATCCTCATTTTTAAGGACTCCTTAATGACTGGTAGGATCCCCGGTATTTTTTGCTTAGTACCTCTAAACATGACATGTATTTATGAACTGAGCGTGTGTTCTTCTCTGCAGGATAACCTCTCTTGCTGAATCTCAACTGCAGACACGTCAGCAGATCAAAAAACTAGAGGAATTGCAGCAAAAGGTCTCTTACAAGGGGGACCCCATCATTCAGCACCGGCCCATGCTGGAGGAGAGAATTGTGGAGTTATTTAGGAATCTCATGAAGAGGTATGTGGCAATCTTACGAGACACTAGTGTGCAGTTAATGGTATTTCATCTCAGGTGTACATTCCACAAATTGCAAAAGCTTAAAAGATTTCTGTAACCAGGCAATGAAGAATGCCTATGCTGGACTTCAAAGTGTTTGAACCCTGCACACTTTCTGTGAAATTTTTTGCTACGTATATACAATTAGGTTGTGTATTCTCATCCATTAAGGAATTCATAAACTTTTTGGGTTATACTGCCGCCCACAGGAGGAATGCACATCGGCAAACAGAAAAACTATAGGCTAGCCCAAGGAATAACCCCTTCTACTATCAGCATGCCTTATTTTTTCTAGTGCCCTAGGAGGGTGCATGGGGGTTTTTGTTTTCAGCTCCCCTGACTTATCAGCTATCTGGGACAGTTTTCCTCTGCCTCAACTTTTTCTTTACTGTGAATGGGCCCTTTTACATCAGACATCGTGGAGTGAGCCTAGTAGTGGCCCTCGGGCTGTGGGCATGCTTGCACACTTTCCAGACTGGTTGTAGCAAAGTAAGTTGCAGAACTCTGTCAGGTCCGAAGCTGTTACCATTTCTTTTGCACGTGCTCTGTCTCTGAAGGCTCACTTTGGTGTTTGTTCTTTTAGACTGCACCCCAGGTGCTTATTTATTTTTATTAGTCGCTGGGTGTCTGATGTCATTATGCCAGGTGAAGGGTGCTGTGGCCTGCTTCCACCAGACAGCATCATGGAAGCACCTCGCTGCTGCTACAAAAGCCACATGGAACTTCATTATTTAGAATATCTGGGTAAAGTCTTGGACACTTTTCAGACCATGGTATTGCTTCCCCGGGAGGAACGAAGGACTCTGGATCTTGATGGGCATGAGCCTTTCAAGCTAGGGGGTTCTCCTGGGCACTCTGCCAGTGTAGGAGACTTGGTTGTCTGTGGAAACCTGTCACCTGATAAAAATCCTGTAGCTTCACACTATTTGGCTCAGATGGATAAGTGACTCTGAAAGTGTTCTCTCTATGATGCTCAAAGCTAGGAAGTCTGTGTCTACTTCCCACAAGATCTGTCGTCCAATGTGGAAGGCATATTTTGGAATGAGTCCAGAGGCTTTAACCCCACCAGTTTCTCCATGGGATAGGTACTTTTTTGCATTTGGGTCTGGACCAGGCATTTGTAGTCCATCAAGGACCAGATCTCATTCTTTTTCCAAAGACCTTTGGCTTCCCACCATCTGATGAAGACAGTCTCCCATGTGGTTCCCCTGGCCAAATCCCCTCTAACCCTGTGGGGTTTGAAATGTATCCTTTCATTTCTTTGAAAGCCCCCTTTTGAACAATTAGAGACATCCCTTTCTCTGGTCTGACTTGCAAGGTAATTTTCCTTGTTGCTATGATCTTGGCTAGATATGTGTCAGCACTGGAAGCTTTATACTGCAAGGAACCCTTATTTTGGTCTTGCATTGGGGACAAGGTTGTCTTGAGACCTAGACCTTCCTTCCTTCCAAGGGTGGTTTCTGCATTACAGAACATTGTCCTTTTTCTCCTTGTGTCCATCTCCAGTTCACCAGAAAGATTCCTCTCCGTTGCTTAGATGTGATTTAGGCTCTTTGGGTGCATCTCTCTGACCCTTCTTCATTCCACAAGACAATTTCTCTTAGTGATGCTTTAAAGATCCATGAAGTGTGTCTCAGCTTTTAGTTCCACCATATGTCTGTGGCTCATGAAGAGCATCACACAAGCTTATGGTCTCAAGGATTAGGTTCTGC